GTGATTATTTTAGTGGACAATACTGCCTGCACTTTTTTGGGTTCTTTTGGGGTTAACATGTATGCACCAGGATCTGTTTGCTTTGCAGCGAAGTGGCTCAAACACATCCCTTGCTACATTTTGCATTTAAACACATGCACTCAAGCAGCACTGCATTCACATAAAAAATGCAGCATTCATCAACAAAGTCTGTCTACAAAAGCACTAAAAGATTGGACTAATCACCATGTGTAATAATATAATTTCCACTATTCCACTATAATTTCCACTATTCGCTTATCTCCAGTAAAAAGTCACATGTACAAAATAAATGAAGCAAAAAATGGAGCAAATAGAGGCCACTTTGTCCTTAGACTGACTTCATACCTATGTCTGTGCTGCAACACAGGTTAGATGTATTAGTGCAGTGGTTCTCAACCTTTCATGGGCCGGGACCCCTTGGTAACATTTGCCAAGTTGTGGTGACCCCCAACTGTATAATTTAGGGATGACGCGGCTGCTGCTGCGACATCTGGCGGCGTAGCGGGAGAACTGAGACTGCTGCGCTAGGAGAGGGCTGAGGAGGACTCTCACCTAGCACAGCAGAAATCACACAGCGACCCACAGGTTAAGAACCACTGCTTAAAGGAGACAACGAATCCCAGAGGAATACAACAAATCGCAGCAATAGTCCATTATACTATAATGTTCTATTGCTGGTGGCTGCAATGAGGCTGCAGGAGATCGGCAGCACCGAGATGTAACAAAGGATGAAAGAAGAATTGCTCATTGTGTAGGATGAATGGTGGCCTATAAAGTAGTCCTCTGTAGCTGGTGTTATTCTGCGTTGCCCTGTATAATGTACTATTGCCGGGAGTTGTAGTCCTCTATAGCTGTTGATATTCTGCAGTGTGCTGTATAATGATTATACGGCGCAAATCAGAATAACGCCAGCTACAGAGGAATACAGCAAATCGCAGCAATAGTACATTACACAATAATGTACCATTGCTGGGATTTGTAGTCCTCTGTAGCTAGTGTTATTCTCCATTGCGCTGTATAATTTATTATTGCTAGGATTTGTAGTCCTATATAGCTGCTGGTATTCTGCAGTGTGCTGTATAATGATTATACTGCGCAATGCAGAATACCACCAGCTATATAGGAATACAACAAATGCCAGCAATAGTACATTATACATACAGTCAGTGTATAATGTATTGCTGGGATTTGTAGTCCTCTCTAGCTGATGGTACAGCACAATGTACCAGCAGCTAGAGAGTACTACAAATCCCTCTACCCCAGCAATACATTAATGCAGCACCATGTGGGGGGAATGCAGGCAGATATGTACGCCGTCAGAATAAAAAAACAAAAACAAAAAACCACTATAGGAATGCATAACTAGATTCCTATTGGCTATTTCACTTTGCAATAGCCAATAGTGTTGTGGAAATTTTACTAGGATGTGTTTTTAGTGTATTGTAATGTTTTGTCATTAGTCTCTCAGTGTCTAGGTAAATAGACACTGGGGGATTAATCCATTGGAGGAGATATCTTATGCGCGGCGGAGCAGTGTCTTCTTGGCGAATGTATGGACGCCGGCTGGGGCCCCCGTGCAATGCATGGAGTTATTGGCTTGCGTGGATACATTTGTTTGGAACGCAGTATATGAAAGGAACGTGCGTTTGTTCTCTCTGGTGTGCCTGATCAACACGCTAGAGATAATGACGTTGTCCCTGTGAATGAGCGCGCATGAGAATCATAGTAACGTTATGTGGCATTGATCACTGAGCAATGCTGGATAAAGTCACTCCGGTGGTGATAGATTATTCTACTACATGTGATTGTTCTACTAATGTGTTTTGTAGACTGGCTATGTATTGAGGAAGTGCTTGTTAACCTCACTTCCTGGTTTGCTGGTTGTTGAAATCATCTGTTGGTTTTGCTATCACTTCCTGTCTGCCCCACTTCCTGTCTTGCCCCATTTCCTGTCTCGCTGTTTGAGACACCCCTTCCTGTCTGACATCACTTCCTGTTGGGCAGGTATAAACAATAAACATACCTGTGTTCAGGTCTCTTAGCATGGGATTAACGAACAAGCAACATCTGTCTCCTGACTCTACATGACTCTGGAGAAGGGGATACTTCCAGTCCTTGCATAAAAGAGCGTAGTACAACGGGGGAAATTCTTTGCGTTTGGCGCAGCTTAATGCGACATGGATTTGAGCGTTGAACCAAGTGAATTTCCATAACAATAGCAAACTAGCTATTGCACCCGCCCTCTGCTGCTGTCAATCATTAGAACTGGACCTGATGGAGAATTTCAGGTGATTGGCAGCAGCAGAGGGTGGGCGCAATAGCTAGTTTGCTATTGGCTATTGCAAAGTGAAATAGCCAATAGGAATCTAGCTATGTGTTCCTATGGGTTTACTTTAATGTTTTTTTCTGACTGATGACGGCTTGCGGCCGTCATCAGTCAGAAAAAAAAACAGCAGAGAAAGGTTTGCTCTGCTCTAACGAGCAGAGCAAAGCTTTCCGGGAGAAAGTTTTTTGTTTTTTCTCTGATTTACGGCCGCCTGTGGAGAAAGTTTTGCTGTGCTCGATTGAGCAGGCGACCCCCGGCAAATAGTCATTCGACCCCCGACGGGGTCGCGACCCACGCG